GGGGGGGTTACAGCTGCTAATCCCAGTGCTTCAGTCTGGCAGCAGTGAAACACACAGGCTGTGTTGGACAGTAAAACAGGCACCGGATTACAGATTAAAAGCAATTTCTAATCTTCTTTTGCACGGCTCTTCAGATATGGCCCAACTTGGCGATGTCTGAGCTCCAGCTGACCTACAATAAGATAAGACCTTCAACTTTCCACCATCTCTGCTCGTCACAGAGGTCACCAGAAAACATCAGAAGCCTCGCGTATGAAAGTGCACAGGCTGTAGGTCTTCCTCAAAGCCAGAAGTTTTATTTTTACTCCAAATCCTCAAAGAGACACAATCCCTCACCCCCTCGCTCCCCCCAGCCGTTAGCCTCACTCCACCTTTCATCAGTCGGGTTCACCTGAAGGAAAGAGGTTTGAAGTTCACAGCCATTCGAAACAGTGTGAAGTTTTTAGGTTTGGTTTCATGTGTTAAAGTCGCACGAAGTTTGGTTTAGTGCTGCAGTGGTTGGATAGAGCAAAGTAAAGGCACCAGTTCAGGAAAATAAAAATGCAAACAAGTTACTGAACAAAGATTTGGTAATTAATTTTTCTCTCTTTTTAAGCAAGACAGTCTAAAATAATCTGGTTCCAGCTTCCTCAAAGTGATTTTATTTTTTATTCTTTTTGGTTGCTGGATGGGGGAAAAAGGAGATTATGATCTGTCAGCATGTCCTTTGGGAAAGTTTCATCTAATTATTCACTCATTAAATATTAAACCATTGTGGGAGAACTAAAAGAATTAGATTAGTTTAAGGCTTTTATCTGAGTAACATGATGACATACCTGACAGTGTTTGCCTGCAGCTTCTCCAGTACGACTGTATTTTGTTGCTTTTATATTGTTTTTATAAGATGGACATAAAAGTATTTTTTATATACTGTATTTATACGTGTTTGGGTTTTCTGTTCGAGAGCAGAAACTTGGATGTGATCACGGTTTGTGTCTTTCTAAAGTGAATATTAACCAAATGAAACTAAGTAAAAGTCGGCTGATTAAGAAGAAAAGTTTTTAATTGAAAACTGAAAATTGCAAAATATGTGTACACATAATGTATTCATTAATCAGCTTAGGACAGTTAAAAAGTAGTAAAAAAAGATTTTTGTTTTAAAGTGGGTTTATTTTTCATATTTGTTGTTAACACAGGGATTTTAATTGTTGCATTAGTGATAACAGCGTGTTCATGTTTTTCAGGGCTTTGAATGTCACAGTAATTTAATGAAAAAAAAAACAACAACATATAAAGAAAACTATTCACGTATGTTTGAATTACAACAACGTGTATATGGAGGCTCTGTCCCTCTCTCTGATCTACAAGCTTGTTTTCTCTTTATCCAGAGTCAGATTTCTGTAAACGGCTTCTTTACAGGCAGATTAAATAAAGACTTTCACATCAGATATTTGAGGAGTTTAATATTAAACTGATCCATATTCTAAATGAACTCTATTTATTAATTAAGCAGAATATAAAAGTAAAAGTGCTACAGATAAGATGGCAAGAAGGAATTTAAATGTTTTAAATGAGTTTTATTTTGTTGGCAGAAACATCATAGTTCAAGTAAAAGAGCAGTCATTAAAATGTTAATATTTTTTACTGTGTTCAAGTAAAGCGACTGATCTTATTTCTTCTTTTCATCCCAAGGCTCTGCACGCTGTGCAGTTTCAGCTCTCTGATCTAAAATCATTTCTTTTCATGTGTCGGAGTCAGATTTCCTTTTAAAGGACTTCTGCACTTGTGGAACAAACATCATTTGTCTGGAGCTTCCTGGGACTTAAACCCTGAGATGGCATAAGCTTCTGGACTTATTGTATTTGTAACAAAGGCATGAAAGTACATTGAGCGGAGGATTTAAGTATTCATTTATTCCTCCGAGCCCAACGGTTGTCACAGTTTTGTGCAGCGATCAGGTTTTCGAATTGAAACAATGAAGCCTGGAGACAGAAACATGCAGGAAACCGCCAAACGAAACAGAAAAACATCAGCAAAGATTCAAAGGTCCAGCAACCTGAGTCTGTGCAGACATGTGATGTGCTCGTGAGGACCGCTCGGAGCAGTGAGGCCTACAGGATGCCTTGATTGAAAGCAGCCGGGGAACCATGGCACGGCGTGTCCGGCTGGGCCAGGAGGGGGTGTGTTGAGCCAACTAGTCATCGTGGTTGACAGATGCCCCCAGAAAGCCACTAACAGGATGACGCCTGCGCTGCGAGGGCTGCGAGGTAAAGACGGATTATGTCTGAGCAGTAGATAAACAGATTATTCCAGAAACAGTGCCTACTTTTTTAACCTCGTCACTCTTGCCACACTTTGCAGCAGGTCCTGTTCTGGATCGGTTTACGCTTCCACACGCATCCTGGAATTCATCGGGAGCGTTTCAGCAGCCGCTCAGGGTCCCCCAAATGACACGAGGTCGACCCATGCCCATGATCTCCACCTGAGCCAGAGGAGCCCCCTCCTCTCCGCTGACACCTTCCCTTGTGCTGCTGGATTTACTTTGACGTTCATATTTCAGGAGACCGTCCTACATGATGCTTTGGGCGTTTGGACTCGCTCTGCTGCTCGCCGTCGCTCCGCAGGCTGCCGTGATTAAAGGTGAGCCTCGTTGGTTCGCATTTTATTCTTTGCAAACAGAGAGGTTAGATGTGAGGGTTTAAAGAGTAAGGCTATCTATACTCGTACTAAACTTGGTCACAATGTGAAGCAAAGCCTATTACGATTGCGTAAGTACTTGGCTGTGAAGTCATCGTGGAGTTGGACTGTCACTTTTCCCCCGAGGATACCAAAAAGGCAGTTTAAATGCATGGTGACATCGCAAGAAGTTTGCCTTCCTCCAATTATGTGTGTGCAAACATGTCCTCAATGCAAATGGAAATGCAGAAACAGATAATGGCAGTTCAGTAGATTCATGGCTGGCGTGCTGACAGCTTGACAATTTGAATTACAGCTTTCTCTCCTCACTTATTCAGGAAAGAAAGAAAGCTAAAAATCTGACAAAAGAGGGGCTGATAATCAAAGTTATAAAACAAAGTTCACCTTCACTTCAAAACATTTCTCAGGCTGTTTATTTCTCCCAAAAGCAGCCCGATGAATTACAACCCTCACTTTGACTCATGCTGTCCTAAATTTATCTACAACAAACCTCTTGTTTAGGAGCGTCCTTTTGGTACACCGAGTGCTTCCAGTTTTAGTGTGTGTGGGCGCCTGAAGGAGAGAGTCGACCCTGAGCAATGACTGTAAGGCAAACGCTGAACTCGGCTCTGCTCCATGCAGCAGATAAACACAAAACAGAGAAATGCTGAAGGACTCACACAGATTAATGTAGGGAAAGATCACGGCATGTGCCCAAAGTGAATGTGAGGGATAGGTGGAGGTTTAGAAACAAGAACATAGAGAGAATCAGAAGAAAAGGTCAAAAACATGGAGCTACATGCAGCAGCAGACAGCTTTATAAAATATTCAACACAAAAAGGTTTTATTGGTGCAATTTGGTGGTGGTCTCTTTCTCAGTTCAGTCATTAGAAACCTTTAGAAACATTTCTGCATCACTCACAGGTTTAATATCTTTAATTAATCCGTTTCTTTTTTTCCTGATGTTCCCTTGTTTATTAATAACACATACTGTATCATTTACAGGTATTACTGCTCCTTCAAACTGAAGCGTCGGCAGTGATACGGAAGGATTTAGTCACATTAATGCTGCATAAAAAAGCACATCATCAAAATTAACCTGGACATTTTCAACACTGCAGCTTCTTTGGATAGAAAACGGTATCTAATGAGAGCAAACTCAGAAGTGAAGTATTTAAATACTTTTACATCCCACCATCACCGTCAGTGCAGACAGTAAAAGCTTCGGTGTTCAGAAGATGTCAGGATTCATAAATTTTAACAATTATGATGTTTACAGTTAGAGAACTAGAAAAAATGTGCATAATTTACAGTTATAAAATCCTCTGATTAAAGCTGACTTTAATGTCCAAAATCCATCAGGTTCTGTAGGATACTGAGGATTTAGTCACATTAATGCTTCATAACATATCTTGGAGACTTTCTTCTGCATTCAGCTGTAACGCTGCAGCTTCTTTACGATTTATTTTCTTTGCAAAAAATGTCACGCATGTAAATATGTTATTGTCATCTATGTATGTTGAACTAAAATAAACTTAAAGGTCTGTAAGAAAGAAAAAGAAACGGGATACGTGTTGTGTAGCAGCATGTTAGGAGGTCACAGAAAGTCAGCGTCTCTAGAAAGATCATTTAATACCAGCCTTCAAACCACTGACACTTCGATACTGATAACCTGAAAGCTTTCAGGGACTCGCCTGTAAGAACACAAATCTCAGTCACAAATCTTGATGCCTACGTTGTTGTGCTCTGTAGTCATGTCCATGACATTTTAATATAAAGATTTGTCGAGTGATTATTGTGTAACTAACCGAGACAGCCAGAGGGGAGAATGTAAAAATTAGCTGTGATGATAAACAAGTCAAACTAAGCACTTCCAGACCTTTTACCCTCTGAATGAGACCACTGAGGGAACAAAGTGTGGATCCAGTCTCCTCATCTGGGCAGTGATGTTAGAGTTTGCATCTGTGTCTGCTAACATGCTGCTTAAATGCTACTAACACGCTGCTAACATGCTGCTTAAATGCTACTAACACGCTGCTAACATGCTGCTTAAATGCTACTAACACGCTGCTAACATGTTGCTAACACGCTGCTAACACGCTGTTAACAAGCTGATAACACACTACTAACACGCTGTTAACAAGCTGCTAACAAGCTGCTAACACGCTGCTAACATCCTGGTAATATGCTGCTAACACACTGTTAACAAGCTGGTAACATGCTGCTAACAAACTGGTAGCATGCCGGTGTGGTGTCTGAAAGTTCAGGTTTATCTTATGAGCTAAAATACAAAAACTGTAAATCTGCCGGTTATAAAATACTCTCTGACTCTGTTTACCAGCTCGTAGCCATGAAGCTGTGCGTTTGCTTTCAGAGCACATCTTTGATGATGTGTCCTGTGGAAGTGACAACCATTTTTTTAAATTAATCCTGTGATGTCACTGCTTTTCTTTTACTGCTTTCTCATTTTTCTCAAGTGGAGGAGGTAAAGTTGAGGAGGTAGACTTGAGGTCTTTGCTTATCTGTGAGGGAATAAGGAGGGAGCAATAGTAGTAGAAATGAGCGCCAGAGATTAATAAGAACTAATGGTTAAATGCAGAGGAGTGTATACACATGGTGACTGAAGAAGAAACACCCAGTGCATCATGGGAATCCCCCAGCAGCCTACACCTATTGCAGCATAACTAAGGGAGGATTCAGGTTCACCTGATCCAGCCCTAACTATAAGCTTTATTTTTCATAGACACTGAAGGGTGTCTGGGCCCTCATCTGAGGTGTTTCAGCCATGTCCTACTGGGAGCAGACCCAGATTTTCCCTTTGGTAAAGTCTTTGTGCCCCCTGTTCTGGACATATCAGACTTGGATAAGTAGTTTCGTTTCTGAAGTGACCAGAACTACTTTTGTTGTCTCCTAAAGAGTTGTTTTGCATATTAAATGTCAGAAACTAGTCGTCCAAAGGCTCAGAATATTCCGTTTCTAATGAATAGAGACAGAAAATAGCAAGTTTAATGTGGATCTGTCTAATTACTGAAATGCTAATCAAGGCTTTTTGGTTTATGGACGTCTTTTCTACCTCTGACTCTTTGCAGAGTAAATCAGACCGGCGGTGGTGTCACTGTGGTCCTGATGCTGCTCCATCAGTCTGCGTTTGACTCGTCACGATGTGTGTTTGTCTCTGAAATATCTGGCATCTGTTTATTTACCACAGCAGCGTAGCAGCAGCTGGTGTTTTATCTGCTCTTCACTGCGTTCGGCTCTGATTCCTCTCCTGCAGCTCCAAGCTTCTTCTCCTGTTTGTTTTAAGCCTCTTGTAGTACCAGACGGATGGGGTTTAAATCAGGCAGTGTCGTTTGTGTCGCCAGTGGCAGAAAATGACTCTAAATCCGATTTCGACTGTTTTCAAATGTTGTTTAAATCTGGTGACATGAGCTGCGCTGCTCTTTGTAGTAAACACCACCCATCTGTTGCTCTAAACAAATGCCAGGGATTTGGAACTGACCGCGATCTGCTCTGCAATGACTGTGTTTTGACCCTGAAGTTATTTTTTTACCTCCTCTCTTTGTCTGGCTCAGAGGGCGATGGAAGGATGAACTCGGGGGTGAAGATGGAGGCCGTTGGCCCGGCGGGACTGGCGCAGCTGCTGAAGATGCCCGCCCTCACCAAAAGTTCAGGTTTTAAACCAGAGCTACGCCGATCCAAGAGGTCGGTGTTTTTACACTCTGGAGTGAGAATCTGCCCCCAGGAGACCATCAGTGAAGTGATCGCAAGCCACCAGGCGTACTACCAGCTCAGAGGTACAATTTGTATTAGTCTGGAGACAATATTACCCCCTAATCGCTGTTGTCAGCAGTATTCCTCTGATAAATTATAGGTATACTACAACTGAATTCAAGTTTTATTTATATAGCACCAAATCACAGCAGTCGCTTCAAGGTGGTTTATGTTGTAAGGTAAAGCCCCTGCAATAATAGAGGGAAACCCCTACAATCAGACGACTCCTGATGAGACAGTGGCAAGAAAAATAAAACCCTTTTAACATGAAGAACCAGTCTCAAGGAGGGCTTCTTATCTTACCTTTCCTAAATCAATTGCTGGTTTTCTGCCTATAAATCTGCAAACAACTCCGAATTATCGGCCAAATATTGATATTGTTCAAATTCCTTCTACAAACAGGCCCTTTTTGGGCTTTTATTTTGAAGCTCAAGTGTAAAGAATGTGTCTGTGGTCACCAGGATGTAAAAATCATGCATGAAACCATGAGACAAATATTGGGTTTGGTAAATCTGCTTCAAAGTAAAGTTTAGAAAGGTTTTTTTTCCAGTGGAGTATAGGTTTGATGCACAGGTGCAAAGTTACACGACGTTATGCCTTAATTGGCGGCTCATTATGGGGGTCCTTTCGTCAGAGCAGCTCTTATTTGTATTTTGTGCAGGGCTGAAGGTAAGAAAGTTTCCCACAACAGCAATAAAAACTGTGAAAAATATTTTACTATCTGCTTATTTTCTTTGCAGAAGTGAAAAAAAATGTTTTCTGATGCTTTGGTAAGAATTGTGTATGTGGGTGGATGCAGGAGGCAGTAAACAGCTGAAACAGTCGTGAACCTCCACCCTGTTACAGACTGCATCCATACGCTTCTGTTCGTGACACGGCGTGCTTTGAGCGCCATGTCTCCTCTTTATTCTGGCTGTTTATGAGCCTCACTGACTGGCATCAGAATGAATTTACATCAGTTTGTTCAGAAATGTTCAGAAATCATTTGATGAAGACGGGAGAGGGAATAAATATCAAAGAACATCTGGAGGGATCGGATGACAGCGCTGAATGCACGCCTTATTATTACCTCTTCCTTAAGATGAGGTCCTTACATTTAGCAGTACGATAGAGTGTTGGAACCACTGGTGATGCAAAAATAAAAATAAAAAAAGGTGAGGTGTGGGGATGTAGGGGTTGTTAAAAGTTAAAAAAAAGTTCAAAGAATAGTCTGATGTTGGTGCTCCAGCATGGGGATTTCAGTTAAGTATCAGAAAGGGAAGCAATGCTTTTCCTAATAACATGCACATTTGGAAAGGTAATCTCCAAATTTATAGCTTTTCTTCAACTTTAACTGGCACTGCTCTCACCACTGTGCTGCCTTTTGTTGTGAGAAAATTAAATTTGTGGCTCCACAATTTTTTTTAAATGTGGAGGACAAAGCAATTAAACATGATGCTGTGAATATAATTTTACTGGTTTTAAGTGTTTGCATGCTTTCAAGTCTTAAATTTAATCAGATTGAACTTCAAGAGTAGCTTTAAAAGCCTTAAATTTAGCAGATTTTACCTGCAGACATCTACACAAAGAAAAGACAAAGCTGAAGTCCAGAAGCGTCGGTTTCTTCACACAGTTTCCAGCAGGCAGTTTCACTGTGGAGGAGGGGGGGGAGTGGAGGAAAGCACAGGTACATGATCCCACACTCGAGCCAGCTGACCCGTCACGGCGCCACTGAGGAGCGATGAAGTGAGTCACAGGCGTGAGTCACTCCCCTCCTCCGCACAGAAAAGTGCCGAGCTGTGCAGCTTGTTCAGCACAGGAGCAGAAGCACGGGGATCGTACCTGTAAAACAAAACGGCCTCCGCACGAATCTTCTGAGCGACAGATGCAGGACAGTGTGAGGAGTCCCATGTTTGCAGGTGGTCCAAAAGGTGACGCCCCCCCCCCCTGAAGGAGAGCTGATGAGGCCAGGAAGATCAGACTGCTGGACTAGAAACTCCTCATCATAGATACTTCTTCACATGTGTGGTTTTTGCATGCAGGCTGTATAAATGTGTCTCGTATCTTCAGTTCAGTGTTACCCAAAAATCAAGTGTGCCCTATAACCTTCAGCAGCGGGCGCCCATGTGCATGAAAACATGGGGTTATATATATAAAAGTTCTAGTGTGTGAGTGTGTGAATGTGTGTGTGAATGGGTGGATGACTGGATATGTAAAGCGCTTTGGGGTCCTTAGGGACTAGTAAAGCGCTATATAAATACAGGCCATTTACCATTTACCATTTAGTTGGTCGCCAAAGAGTCCTCACATAATTCAGCTTTTTCTTCGTTGTGCTCATAGCTGGTCTAATAAATCTCTTTCTTTTTAAGCCTCGATCTCATCTGAGTCGCCCCTGATAGAGCAGCTCTGAGATGACGGATGAAAACTGTTTGTGACATCAGTTTTAAATGCAGCTCGCCTTGGGCTGTATGCGTGTTTAGCTGGATACTACCAAAGAAAGACGGGCCAGAGTAGCTGTGGATAAAACATGAATTTCATAAACAAGACGTGTGAATCTCTTCAGATGTTCAGTGAGAGTTTATTTGTGTGTTCGAGGAGTTTTATGACTAGTTATTGTTATTACCGGCCGGTTATTACCAGCACCCAGGAGCTCCTACTTGCAAGAAGCCAAATTAAATGTGTCTTAATGTTTACCCATGTATGCGCAGCGTCTGCAGCCTGCAGAGCTGCGTGCTGTGTCCGTGTTCCTTTATCCTGTGCTGTAAATGTCAGAAAGATCCCGCCCCACTCTGATGGCTTAATTCTGTTTTCACACGTTCACGCTTCATCTCCGCTGATTTTCGTGTCATGCACATATCTTTTCATCTTTCTCGTCTTATCTCTGCTCACGCTCCTGTTTGATCTTTTATCCTCGTCTAACACGGACTTTATTTTCCGATTGATTCAGAGCGGATTAGCTCGAAGTCTCGTGTGTGTTCTGTAAATTTGGACATACCGAAGGCTTCAGTGTGTTGTTTAAAAAGGGAAAATCATACAGCTTTGCTCACAGATCCCACCGATGGACCTTCTTTAGTTATTCCCAGTGAAACCAGACAGAAGCTGACGTTTCCACAGATGGTGGTGGTTCATTCAGACAAAGCAAGAAATACTGGTCTGATTTCTGCAGTAATAATAAGTATTGCATCTTTGCTACCTAAATAAAACCACAATCACGTCTGTGGTGCAGCATTCTCATGTGAATATTTTCTTTCAGTCGATGAAATCATTGATCGTCTTCCTCCACTCACCTTTAAGCATTCACAGCAGACGGCTTTCTCTGTTTTCTCAGTATTATTGTGGGGCCTTACGATACAAAGCTACTTCAGGCAACTCTTAAAGAATTGAATTGAATTGAATGACCCCGGGTGTGACTGTGGTTTAGATTGTTTGTAGATTTGTTCCCTCAGTGTTTCCTGTCTCATTTTTTTGTTAAGTTAATTCATGTGTCACTTCCTGTTTTATTTTGGTAGTTTGTCTCGTGTTTAGCCTAATTTTTTTGATTTTGCCTCCTGTGTCTTGTTACCCTGCTGTTTCTGCTTTACTTACCCTCGTGTATAAACAGCACTGTCTTCCCCTCAGTCTTTGTCTAAGCGTCTGTTAATCTCCCACATGTGTCTCCAGCTTTGGGGTTCTTTTTTTTACTTTTCTGATGGACTTTGTTTTGGCTAGTAAAGAGCCCATAAAAGAAAGGCTCACCTTAGTTTAGTTTGCCTTTCTCCACATGTCTGCAATTCATTGCAGTTTCTTGGTTTTGGAAGACATAAACTGCACGCCTGTTAGACTTCAGCAGAAGAAGATGGATGGACGACTAAACCAATCTTACTGTGCCATCAGTTTTTGTTTTTTAATCCTCCTCAGTTAATTCATCCATCACAGACACTGCTGCAGAGTTAAATACGTCCTCTGGAGGTTGGAGAGCTGAAACTGTCTGATTCATTTAAAAATACCTTGCAACAAATCTGTATTTGCATATATAACATGTACATGTTTATGAATATAAACATCCATAAATGGATGAAATGTTGTTTATATTAAAAAGAATGAGGCTGCTGTGAGGAGGTGGATATTGGAGGTGAGGAGGTGGAAATGTCACTATATTAAAACACATCTTCTTTATTTTAGTGATGTGGCACAACATCAACATCCACCTGTGCAGTTTTTCTGTCATCAGACCAGGTCGAAACCTGATCTAAGGTTTAGGATACATTTGATGTCTGCTGGTTAACTATTGGAGTCAATCTGGATTTAAATAAATTGTCATCTCTGTGAGATGTGACAACACTGGACACTTGGAATAACTTTGTACAAGTTTAAAAGTGCAGATCTGATTAGAAAACGATGTTGTGATGATATAAAGAAACTTCCGGATCCAGCAGCAAAGTGTTCAGTGCTGAACATGGTGTGTGTGTGTGTGTGTGTGTGTGTGTGTGTGTGTGTGTGTGTGTGTGTG